TACTTTGAATTAAATTTTCAGGCTAGCGGCATGGAGGGGGCTTATAACGTGTTATCCAATGTTGAGCATCTATATCATACAGCCCATCCGGAGATGCAGGCGGCAATCCAATATGCCAAGAGCCTTCTCTACACATCTCTGACTGTCGGAGGCGGAGAGATCGGTCAGGGGACGTCGTCAAGCCAAGTTTTATCACAAGAGAGCTACGTCCAACCCCAGAGGACGCAGTCACACCGAGCGAGGCATCAACCTCCTCCCCATATTCGTGGAGGTAGAAGACGACGTCACCGCGAACCAGTTGCCGACGCCGGGCCTGAGGAACAACAAGAAGAAGGTAAACATCTTTTAGTTAACAAAAATATAATTTTATTTATGTTTTGTGATTTTTGTTAAGTCACATTTCTAATTTCTTAAAAAACTTAATTACTCAGCTCAAGAAGAAGAACAAGAACCTAACACACCCACAGCATCGTCTTCTTCACAACCACCACAGCGTCGGATTAGCAACCGACCGCGCAACCCTACCAATCGATACACTCCTAGTTAGTTGTGTTGTATTCGGAGACAATTTGTAGACATATATATTTATTTTTTTCTTTCGTGGATTTATGTGTAATGATATTTGAACTTGTTTGGAATTTTATATTTGGAAAGTGAATTATTGTGCTTCATTATTGTTTCTTTGACATGGTTGATATGGGTTTTGTGAATTTATATTTGGTTGTGGAATCGATCTCGATTAACAGGTGTGTTTTTGTAATTTTGTTTCTGTTAATTGCTGTTTTTGCACAGTAAAACGTATTTTCAAAATACGTTTTTGTACTGTGTAAAATTAGGTCAAAATCGATTTGGGGATAAAATTAGGGCGCAACCAATTTGGGGCAAAATTAGGTCAAAAAACGTATTTTCAAAATACGTTTTTGTACTGTGTAAAATTAGGTCAAAATCGATTTGGGAATGAAATTAGGGCGCAATCAATTTGGGGCAAAATTAGGTCCAAAAACGTATTTTCAAAATACGTTTTTTGTTTGTGTAAAATTAGGTCAAAATCGATTTGGGGATAAAATTAGGGCGCAATCAATTTGTGGCAAAATTATGTTCGAAAACGTATTTTGAAAATACGTTTTAATTTTGCAAATATTATTTTCCAAAAAAATAAGTTTTTTAAAATCAAAAATATTAATTTTAAATATTTTAACGGAAAACGTATTCCCAGAATACGTTTTTAACCTATTTTAATTAATTTAATTACGTTAATCACCTTAATTAATTGTTTCTAATGAACACGTGTTATTAGAATACGTTTTTCTTTGAAAACGTATTTTAGGAATACGTTTTTAGTTAAAAAACGTATTCTGGGAATACGTGCTTTTGATATTTTTCCACTTGTTTTATTTTTTTTTATTTATGTCCACTTAATTTTTTTTATTTTTATATAAATAAATAAATCACTAATCATACCACAATTTTTTTAAAATTAACTATAGTTAAAAAATAAATCAAATAAAAACTAGTCGAATCCATAAAACCTTTCGAGATTGTATGCTATCTTTAAAAAATTTAAGATTATGGACAATATACATATTATTTTGGCAATAAAAAATTATTTAATTTAAGAGTTAATTTCATACATATATATGCTTAAGAAGGATATGTTCCACTAATATAAATGACATTTAGGTTTTAAATTTATGGTGTTGTTCATTGTATCTAACTTCTCCTTGCATTCTTGTTAAATATATTCAACCATTTTATTCGGAAAAATATTAGTTATTCATGTGATTTGTTTTCCTTCACATATGATCAATTACTTCGTGTTTTGCTTTCATATAATTTGGTTTGATTAATGTCCTTGAATTCGGTTCTATTCCTTTGAAAATTTTCATCTATTTATCTATGGGATTCTTTTAATTTTTAAAAGAATTGTTTTTACATTTATTTCTTTATATATAACGTTTAGCTAATGATGTTATTTCGAGTCGAGTACCTCATATTTGAACTCGTGCTCCTTTAACAGCGTCCTTCTACGGGTGCCACTAGAGTCGAGCGAGCCGAATATCTCACGTACGAACGAGTCAATTAAGCTTGAACTTTCACGAGCTAGATTTAATTGTGTTTACGAACATAATAGATAATAAAGAATATTCTATTTAAAAAAAAAATGAGAATCAATTGATTCTTATCTATAAAAAAAACCCCAAGTCCAGCACTATACGATTATTGCTCCTTGTCAAAGTAGGTTTAAACTTAATCTCAATATTTGAAATGACAAATACAGAAAAGCTACAAATATTATTTAAAAAATTGAACTCTTATGCGTTACACATTCCAAAAATTGAAAATTGCACCAATACTAGCTAAGGTCAACCAAGAGATTCACAGCATCAGAAGAGCTTTGAAAACCGCTACATTGTATTTATCTACCAACTTTTTTTATAGCCCTTTGGATACTTTAATCTTGAAAGAGGTAGTTAATGTCAAAACTCAATATTAAATATTATCCCTAATAAACAAAACACTTCCCAAGTTCCAAGCTACACTTTCCTTTATAAACTCAGCCTGATATTTCGAGTCACACATAACATTTCTTCATTATTACAAGAAATACACACGAACACCAANGAAAAAAAAAAAAAAAAAAAAAAATTAAGTAATTTTAAGTTTGTCTCAATCGAAAAATGGTTCGGAAGCCGTTTGATCATCACCCGAAGCAGAAGTTTAAGAAGGGTTTGTGGTCTCCCGATGAAGATCAAAGGCTGAGAAATTATGTGCTCAAATACGGCCATGGCTGCTGGAGTTCGGTTCCGACCAATGCTGGTAAGTTGAGGTTATTTTTTCATGTGTCACAAGTTAAAATTAAATAAAAACATTGATAAATATTTATATATATATATATATACATATTAAAATTTATAATTTCAAGTATAATGTAGTTACGTTTTGGCACATTTGATGGTGAAAATTGATACATTTTCAAGTTGAATATGAAAGTATGAGAAGGTGCTTTGATTCTTATTGAATTCTACTTCCAAGTTGTAAATTCTTATACATTTTGACAAAAGATAATATACTATTTAACAAATGCAAAAATCTTCTCGATACACTTCATGTGAAGAGCAAAAGTCAAAATTTACCCATCTTCAAGATATGGGAAATTTGAGTAAAGAACACTTGAATTAGTTTAATTAAGCATGCTAATCATGACTTTGGATAATCATTGATCAATCTCAGCTTTACTTATAAGTATACAGCTAAATATTATTTACTTAATTATATCTCACACTAATTCATTATTTTTTTGCTGGCCAGACTTAAGAATAAAGTTTAGAACCAATTGGCTACAAACAAGTAGAAGTCAAAAATAATTTTATTTCATATAAAAATATAGTGTTTTAATTATCTCTTACTAATCCTATTGGTCATTTTCTTTACTTTGCTGGCAGGTTTACAGAGGAATGGAAAGAGCTGTAGATTAAGGTGGATTAATTATCTAAGGCCTGGATTAAAGCGTGGGGCATTTAGTTTAGAAGAGGAGGAGACAATCCTGACCCTTCATCAAATTTTAGGCAACAAGTAAGAAAAACTAAAATTTTCCTACCTAATTTGTTCTACTTGAAAGAAATTAATTCGAATTATAATAAAATTATAGGAACAAATATAAAAAGCTTATCTGATCGTTTACGGGATAAAACTTTTGTTTTCAACCAATAGTATAGCATATGCTAATCTTTTCACTCTAATCAGAACTCATACAATAGCTGTAAAGATTATGAAAATACCACAAAGAAAATAAATAAAATATTTAAGATTAATGTTAAAAGGATTAAAATTTAAGTGGCAAAATTTAAACTTCTAAAAAATAATATGTTGACAACTTTGAGTAGAGTTGACTTAATTAAAAATGTAATTCCTACAATAATGTTATCTCAATAAATCTTATGTCAGTAGTTCGTTATCTTATGTCATTAGTCATTACACATTAAGTGGTTTTCAGTCATATGCTGTTTAATTAAGTTTTTCTCACAACAAACAGTCTAATACAGATTAATTATTTTTTTGCTCACAACAGTACTGATAACTTGCAACTACTGTTTGGAAAAAAAAGAACTATACAACAAACATTAACATAACAATTTTCTGCATGCTTTTGATTTATTTTCCAGACATAATTTCAAACTTATGCTAATTAATAACACTTTTCATAATTAAACTTTTTTTCAGGTGGTCTCAGATAGCACAGCATTTACCTGGAAGAACAGATAACGAGATAAAAAACCACTGGCACTCTTACCTCAAGAAAAGAGGGCACCACGCCACAGTTAAAAATGAAGTCCAGGTTAAAGTTGAAAATGAAACCATCAATGGAGAACTAATCCAAGTTCTAGAACATTCACCTCCGTCGCTCGAGTTTGTTCCCCACAATTCCGGCTTAGAATCTTTTAAAAACCCAGAATCGTTAATAAACGACACAAACGAGCAGAAAACAAATCAGTCGAGTGGACCAAAATGCAATTTACCCAAAGTTCTCTTTGCCGAGTGGCTTTCAGTCGACCATTTTCCTGTCCACGACACAGGAAGCTTAAGTTCAGACAGCTCAGCTGACTTTAAACACACGATCGAAAACAATTCAAGTTCCGAAGATTCTTGGAATCTTCTCAACGAGCAACCTAACGGGGTCATGGTTGATGATTATGGGTTTCAATTCTCATCGTTCGGTTATTTCTCTGAAAATGCTGCAGTCGATAATTTTTCGGGACCTTTCAGCATAAACTGTGATGGCATGTATATGTGAATGATGATAAATTGAGCAAGTTCAGGGAAGAATAATTTATAAATTTCATTTTTAATTTTTTTTTTAACTATGAAATTAGCATAAAACGAGTGTCATGTTATTGTAGGTAATAGTTAGTGGTTATTCTTCCATTGAAGTTGCTTTTCCTTTACTTGTCAGGCATTTTCAGGATCAGATGACTGTTATTATGTAATAAATAAGTTCATCAATGAAAATATGTTCGTTCGATTAGATGCATCGTAGTGTCAAAACAGGTAACCAAGTTGCAAGACTTGCACTATGTTGGAACGGTACAAGAATACCTGATCATGAAACCTTATAAAATTTACAATCACATAAATAAATGACACACTAAGGGCGTGCTTGAATACAAATATAGCTCCGAATTATTTTTTCGATTAATAATAATTAATTTTAAAAAATATAGTATTATTAGTTATTAATGAAAATTTGAAGTTTTATGTTAAATTAATATTTAAAATAAAATAATTAAACTTATTTGATATAAAAACAGGAAAAATGTTTTTTATGAGAAAGTAATGATAAATTAAAAATACGTGAGTTATTAAAGTAAAAAACATTTAATATTATTAATTATACTTATAATGTGATTAAATTTAATTATAGTGATAATAGTGAAATTTGATTAAAATTAAATATATTTTGAGTATAGATTGAATATGAATTAAAAAAATTTATAAACAAAGACACTCTAAGTTGTAGAAATAAATGACACGACATTGCACCAGATACGAAATACAATTCAAAAATACAAAATTAAAATAAAACAAGATAGTAAAACTTTAACTTATCATATCCATGATCAAATAAATAAAGAACAAAAACACAGAAGCACGATAAGGATATTGATCATGGTATGATGAATAATGGAAGAACAAGAGTCAAAATAGCAAGACCACATAAATGAAATGAAAGAGGTGACACATGAATCCAAACCTCATAATCAAAAGCAAAAAAGCTCTATTAAAAAGATATCCGAACGACAAACCACAAATGTTTTCATCAGAGCAGCGTGAAGGGTAAAAGCCCCTCACAAAACAAAAAGAAAACATAAAAGACTCAAAGGTTCAAAACCTCAACAAAAAAGAGCTGCAAGATAGCATACCACCACCGCCTGTCAAGAACCCAATTCTGGGAATGGCTCCCCAACGCGCAAGGCAGAAGAAATAACCAACATAACAAGTCTAACATAACAAGAAAACTAAAAGCAAAGTTTGCAAGCAAGTACTTATATCGAGCACCATCATAATAATCAGAGCCCACACCACCACAAACCAGCACGCTTCATTTGGCACCCTTCTTAGCAGCAGCCTTGGTGACCTTAGCACCCGATGCATCCTTCTTCTCCACGCTCTTGATGACTCCAACAGCAACAGTCTGCCTCATGTCACGCACAGCAAACCGACCAAGAGGCGGGTACTCGGCAAAAGTCTCCACAACCATTGGCTTAGTCGGGACCATCTTAACAAATCCAGCATCACCATTCTTCAAGAACTTGGGCTCCTTCTCGAGCTCCTTACCAGACCTCCTGTCAATCTTGGTCACGAGCTCAGCAAATTTGACAGCAATGTGGGACGTGTGGCAATCAAGCACTGGAGCATAGCCCTGACCAATCTGCCCAGGGTGATTCATGATGATCACTTGGGAGGTAAAGTTGGCAGCTTCCTTAGCAGGATCGTCCTTCGAGTTGGAAGCAACATAACCACGCTTCAAGTCCTTCACAGCAACATTCTTCACATTGAACCCGACATTGTCACCAGGAAGGGCCTCCTGCAAGGCCTCGTGGTGCATCTCAACAGACTTGACCTCAGTGGTCAGGCCCGAGGGCCCGAATGTGACTACAGTTCCAGGCTTCAGAACACCTGTCTCCACACGGCCAACAGGGACAGTGCCAATACCTCCAATCTTGTAGACGTCTTGGAGAGGGAGGCGAAGGGGCTTGTCAGAGGGCCTCTTGGGCTCGTTGATCATGTCTAGGGCCTCGAGGAGGGTCGGGCCCTTGTACCAGTCAAGGTTGGTGGACCTCTCAATCATGTTGTCCCCCTCAAAGCCAGAGATGGGGATGAAATTGATCTTGTCGGGGTTGTAACCGACCTTCTTGAGGTATGATGAGACCTCCTTCACAATCTCATCATACCTTGGTTTGGAGTATTTGGGTGTGGTGGCATCCATCTGTGGAAGTTTCGGCACACAAAGTTAAAACACTACACAACAAACAGAGAAGAAACTAACAGAAAACAATTTTTCACAAAATTAACAAACCTTGTTACAGCAGCAGATCATCTGCTTGACTCCAAGGGTGAAGGCAAGCAAGGCATGCTCACGGGTCTGGCCATCCTTGGAAATACCAGCCTCGAAGCCACCAGTCGTGGAATCAATGATGAGAACGGCACAGTCAGCCTGAGAGGTGCCAGTAATCATGTTCTTGATGAAATCTCGGTGTCCAGGAGCATCAATAACTGTGCAGTAGTACTTGGTTGTCTCGAATTTCCACAGGGCAATGTCGATGGTTATGCCACGTTCACGCTCAGCCTTGAGCTTGTCAAGAACCCAGGCATACTTGAAGGACCTCTTGTTCATTTCAGCAGCCTCCTTCTCGAACCTCTCAATAACACGCTTGTCAATTCCTCCAAGCTTGTAGATGAGGTGTCCAGTGGTGGTCGACTTCCCAGAGTCGACATGGCCTATGACCACAATGTTGATGTGAGTCTTCTCTTTACCCATGCTGAACACTCAAACTGCATCATTTCACAGTATTTTATAAGATTATATAGACAATAAAGCAATAAGTTCAACTTATTAGAGAATCATCTCTATGAATTCTACAAAATAATTTCAGATGACAATAACTGAATGACATAGAGAATAATACAGTCTGAACCAAATGAAAGATAAAGCCTAGGCCTCCAAACATCGATTTTATAATCAACAATCAATACAGAATCATAATCCCAGGGAGGAACAAAGAAGGATAGGTAGACACATGCAACAACAGAAGCCAACTCCAAAGATCAATTAATTAAACAATCAATAAGCTATCAACGTTCGGATCCACACAAACGCATAATCACATCAGATGAACATAGAGCGTAACAATTTTCTAACAAAAACAATTTCGCGACATCATAATTCAACAGAAATTTACATAGAATATAGATCTACAAGAGATGGTAAGACCAATTATCAACACATATCTAAACAACCGTTTCCAAAACAAATGGCTAAAATTCATCATACTCAGACACGTATTTACGTAGATCTATTAGAGACGATGAAATCAATTGTTCAACGTAAACAGAGAGTTGAGCTTACAAAATCCAGAAACGCAAACAAAGATCTACCAGATATGCTAAGATCAATACACATCTGAGCTAATCAAACCAAGAAACTCAAAATCTACATCGGCAAATGCATACAAACACGACGAACACTACTGCGTGATACAATATAAACGGATAACCATCGAATGATGAAAGGATTGATTACCTTTGGCTATGGCAGCAGTCGAATACGGAGTGCTCTTTTACTGGCTGCTGATAAAGGGAGATGGCGATAATGAGAAATGAAAGAGCCTTATGGACAGGTGATTTATATAGACGTGTAGTCAATTGGGGCAATTAGGGTTTTTGTTAGACCGTTGGATCAAGGGCTCCAACGGATAGGATTGAGGGAAAGTTTATGAGTAAATAATATAAAATCTTACTATTATTTATGGATGTTTCATTTAAAAGATCCAAATTTAAGAAATTGCAAAAATTTTAAATTTTTTGAAAGTTTAAATTTTAATATATTTTTCAGTATAATACTTTCTTTAATAAGTTGCTTTTTACTTACTTGTAGTAAAAAATATAATTAGAATTAATTTAATGAAAAAAAACTAATCTATATCATTATCTATATATATAAAGAGGAGCAACAAAGCATTTAATTTTATTACCATGCATTAAATTTTATTCTCCCTCCAAAATTTTGAGCATTCAATTTTATTTCTAAGTTACAAAATAACCTACTTAAATGCCATAAATTATGAGCATAAACTAATCAAGGAAGTTACAAAATTGTACTCAAATTTTAAGTCACACTCACTCATGAAAATGGTTGGGTGTATTAGCATAAAAAAAATGGTTGTAACGGCTCTTCCATAGCAATTACTTGATCAAAATCAATTTTGAGAATTATTTTCTTAATTCATATTTTTTTCATGAATTAAATTATGATTTATTTTTGTTTTTTTTTATATTTTTATGTTTTTAAAGTATTCGTCTCTGTGCAAATGCACAAGTTGATTACTAGTATTTATACAAAATTTAATACAATTTATTTTAAAATTCGAACACTTTGCAAAATACGAGTTTATAATGAAAAAAATAGAAATATATAATATGAATCAAGTAGATTAGTCATATTATAGACAACTTTAGTTATAATTATACTATATTTTATATGCAATATGAGTCTTGAATTGAAAGTCATAAAAATCTTATAAAATCAAATATGAAATATTCAAAAGGAAAAAAGGTATTAAGCTTAAAATTTCAAAAATAAATAAAATATTCTAGCATTTTGCCACTAAAAATGTCAAAAATATCATGCTGGAGTAGACTTGTAAACAAATCGAATTTTTTTTATTCGATTCGATATTCGTAATTCAAATTCGAAATACGAATAATGTTTTATATTTGGAAGTTAAACGAATCCGAATTTGTAGATATTCGATTCTAAATTCGAATATTCGATTCGTTAACGATAATTATATAAATTTCATAAATTATATATACTATACATTTTGTTTATAATATATATATATCTATATATATATTGTAGTATTCTTAATATTTTTATGACATAAAAAGTAAAAACATGCTAAATTAACAATTTTTCCTAAAAACATAAAAAAATATAAAAATTATTTTTGTAATTGTAATATTTTTTAATTATAACATTTGTATGAAAACGTTTCGAATTGAATTAAATATGTTTGAATATTCTAAACGAATCGAATACGAATCAAAATATTAGTTCGTTTACAACCCTATGCTGGAGCAATAAAAAGATTGAATGACAAATAGGGAGAGAGAAACAAACAGTATGTAACACAACTTGTTAACAAAAGCATGATTGGAGAACATATCATCTTTATCCTAAAAATTGGGCCAAATCAATGTTCTTGAAATATAACTGTTTTGGGCCTATTCAACAGAACAGCCCATATGATACGTGCACTCTCAATTTCTTTGTAGAGTACAGCACAGTTAGAGAAACTATTCCTTTTAAAATACATTTTTTAAAATTTCATAGGCTTTGAAATATTCATATCCAAAAGGTGTAACTTTCTAAATGTTATCTCAATGAAGGAACATATTTTAAAACTAGTGTTGCAACTCATACGATTAAGATAATATGTCAATTCTATTCGACACAACATAGCAAGTCTGTAATATTATAATATTTATTTAAATATTTTTATTTTTATTTTTGTAGGTATGAATTTTACTAGTTATTAGTCTATAAAATATTATAAAAGTATAATATTTAAAATATAATGATTGTTTACAAATTACTTGCATGTACTTATATAATTATCAATTATATTAATCTTATAGCATTTTTAGCATTTCATATTTTACATATTGCTCGATAATTGATCAAAGTTATATCCATAAGATTAATTTTTCTCTATAATAACTCTAATTTCATGAAATACTAACTTATGATAATTAACCTTTAATTTTTTTATCTCTTGTGAAACACAAATTTGATGGTAAATATTTTATTTTGAATTTTAATGTTTTGTTGTATGTATTTATTTAGTTCATGTTTTTACAACCGATATAATAATTTAATTAATAAATAATTTAAGCATTTTGATATATGATATATTTCAATGACTATCTAATGCTATAATTTCAATTATTACTTGACCATATAATTTTATTTACTTGTTTTTATTTATAAAATAGTATATAATAAAAATTTTACTTTTTAACACCTTGAATAGTGTTTCTTATATATATAAAAATATTTCAATGTAAAATTTATAATTTTTAATTTTGCCGACCATCAAGAGATAATTTATTAATATATAATTTAATTTTCAAGTAGTATTACCAATACAAAACATATATTCAAGAGCGTTTTAATTTATTCACGGTTAAGTTGAATACATTCTATAAAAAATTATCGATATTTTAAATTATTCATAAGCTAAAATAATTCAAACATAGTCATTTTAATTATTTTATTACATATCTTAAGTGCTTTTGATTGATGAACATAATTTATATCTACAATCATGAAATAATAATTAAGTTAATCAAATTAATTTTTATAATTATAATGGATACATTTTTTTAAAAAAATTATATCAACAAAATTACTACGAAATTGGTATTATGGTCTTATTCAAAATATGTGTAATCAATCAATCATTCTACTTAAGTCAATTTATATTTAATGTATATTAGCCACTGTGTAAAAAAAAAACTATTTTTTCACATGTAAAGTTTGCCAATAAATAAAGCTTAATTATATGTGCAATATTAACAAACTTTTTTTCATGCTCAAAACTATGTCAATGATGGTAATAAATATAGGTGCATTATATAGATATAGATATCGATTTTTATCAACATATATATTATTTTAGTGGTTACCAAATGCCACTTATGTTACTTGAGTGTAATAGCCATGTTTGAACTCTATTCTCCAACTCGAAACTCGATTTTCAAATAAGAAAATGGTTGATCTGTTTTCCGGCAAGATTTATTATATTTATTAAAAATATATAGTTAGAATTTATTTTTCTCACAAATGAATAACTTTTATATATATAAATATGTGTGTGTGTGCGTGTGTGGGTATATTATTAAAAAAATTATTAAAGATCTTCACGAATCTTTGAAATCTAATTTTAATTTAATTAATAATTAGTATAAATCTTCTCAAATTTCTTAATGAACTAATCAATTTTAGTTTTATTTAATAAACTAATTCCTTATAGTAATTGCCAAAATTGGCAGAAATATTAGGACGGAAAAATTTGTGACAAATATAGTAAAATGGATTGATCCATTATATAGATATAGATATAGATATAGATTTTTGTTAGTACCCGGGGAAACAATATTATGTGATGATTGTAATATTAAATGATGGGATATACGTTAACAACAACTCGTGCATGGGGAAGCAATATTCATTGATGATCGCAATATTAAATGATAGGATATACGTTAACACCATAACACGTAAACAATTAGAATAAAACACAACCACATGTATGTCTACATATTTGAAAATCTACAATGTCAACATCTTGAGAGGTAGTAAAATCTACATAAGTCAAAACAAAACGTTGGAAAGTCAAAATAACACAACTATTTGTTTGAGCCCTAATTTCAAGTTATCTATAGAATGAATGATTTTTATTTATCGTTATTTGATTGAGATGTCGTATTTATTTTGTTGATGAGTTTATTCATGTTATTTGTGTGTTATGTTTATGAATTATGAGTGATTGATATAGTTTGACCGACTACTTTAAATATTAGTTTAATTGCTAGAAACGAGACTTTAATCGTAATTGTTATTGTTCTTGTTTCATTTGTAGTAAACTATAAGTCATACATCTCTAGGGTAACATGGACATAAATTAAATGGTACGAGTTTTTGCATCTGTTGTTTAGACTAATCTATTTTCTTAGTAATTAATACGGCTAGTATATTAAATATAGAGAGCTCATTATAGGTTGTTCACTCGTTAGGTTTAGCATCGTGGGATCAACTCTTACTTGCCGCAACTACTAGTTAGTTAGTGAATGTTTGTTGAGGAAAAACTTTCATAAATTCAAATTTGTTGCGTCGCGACGCACGGTTGTTCATTAAACTCAAGATTGTTTGTTAATGAACTTGTTGAGGCTCGATAATATGGAATTATGAGGATTTGTACTTTTTTTTTACTTTAACATTTGTTAATATTAAAAAACGAGCTAAGATCGAACCAGTTTATCGACTTGAGTATGAGAAGCTCGAACCCGGCTTTGCTTGGTTTCACCTCTTATGTGCTGTGCTTTATTTTTTTGGTAATTTTATTTTTTTACTGCCCAAATTAATAATATTTATTGCTCTTTTCTTGCGTCAGCCAAAAAAATCACAATCTTTTTGTCATGTTTGGTGTTGTTTGCATAAAAACAAAAGAATCCATGAAATCAGCTGAAACTTGGACATCAAAAGAACGCTTAAAAGAAAAATTTCAGCTCAGCTGCACATACATTTCACAATCTCATTAATCTCTCTCTCTTTCTTTCTCTCCAATTTCTGGTGAGCTCCATTTCTCTCTCTACACTCTGTTTCTCACTGTGTGCAGTGTGTGTGTTTTTACCTTGATTATCTGCATGCAAGAAAAGAAAAATCACACTGGCACACACCAAAATGTTCTCACTTCTCATACTCTATATATATTGTGTGTGTGTGTGTGTGTGTGATTTTTTTATGAATTTTTCTTGTTTTGTTTTCTTGTTCTGTTCTTTTGGGGTTTATGGGTTTTGTGTGTTTGGAGAAAATTTCATGGTCTGATGGTGGTCAAAGCTGGAAAATTCATCATCACCATAACTTGTGTCAGATTTTTTCTGTTTTTTCTCTCTCTCTTTTTTTTTTCGAAAAAAAAATGGATAATTTTAACTTCACTTTTAAAGATGTTTTTAGTAAAGTGTGTCTGCAGACAGAGGATTTAATTACTGGGGTGAGAGTACGAAAAAATTAAATGCTTTTGCTGCAGAAAAATGAAAGTGAGGAAAAAAAGGCCAAA